GTGTGTGTGCGTCACATTGTGCGTGTTGGGACTGGTGTGGTTCAGATGTGCTGTTTTTCAGCACCATGCACATCACGCTCATGTGGCCTGTATTTGTGTGAGGTGCACTGACGAGATTTTCCCCAACAAAATCCTGCAGGTGCCGCATCTGAGGTAAAGTTGCAAAACCAACATGACAATAGCCACATTCTATTGATTGTTTAGTCATTATCATTTAAAATAGAAAGTGACAGGTAAAAAATTGATCATGACAGATTTTTTTCTTACCCTGTCAGTCAAAATGACAGACAGCAATAAGGTCTAGCACAGCCTCTGATTGATGGATAGAAAACTTCATCGATGAACAGCCATGGGGGACCTGGCCATCTCAGTGGTTACTGAATGATACACAAGAGGAAAACCATCTGGAAATTAAGTCATTAACTCAACAAAACAGTCATTGTTATCACATGATAACAACATAATTAACTTGTTATCATGAGAAAACAGTTTTTGTTATTTCGTTATAATGACATATGTCGTTATCACAAGAAAACCATGGAAAATAATTATGAACGTAAAATGGCCGCTCTCGGCTTCCATTCATATGCTCTTCTAAAACTTGTACATATATTTCTCTATTGATAATTATTTTTTCCTGAAGTGTATTCTTTCTCATGCCATTCTCACTAATGTACCCCCATATCATAAGAGAGGCTTTTGAAATGTGCACTGAATAGGCTGGATGATCCTCTTTCAACGAACATGGCACCAGTGGTTTCCATAAAAGAGTTTCCAGTTTTCATCCATTTGACACTTGAACAGTTTTCCACTTTGCCTCAGTCCATTTTAATTATCCCAGAAAAGATGCCAGCATTTCTAGATGGCGTTTACATTTGGCTTCTTCTTTGCAAGACAGAACTTTGACCAGCGTTCGCAGGGTTAACACATTATCTTGTATTTCTTGGCATTAAATGTGTGTGTTCTTATGTCTATTGTTTCTTTTTTTTTTTTGTCCTAGTTGTTTACTTTTTTTGCATCATTTTAATTAAGAGAGCACAGAAGCTGGATGCATAGATGTTGTGGGGATGGATCAAACAACTTCTCAGAGATCAATTTTGATTGGATACATTCCCAACTTGTTCTGTCTTTTTACACAGCAAACCTAAATCTGATTCGATTCATATTTTTACTGTAATAACTTTGTATTGGGACACCAACAATGATATAAAAATTCACAAAGTAGTGTTAAATGAGCTGCAATGAAACTGTTGTTATAAAGCAGAAGCATATTTGGTCTTGGCATCACTGGTACAAGCTGTTTGGTCGGGCAGTTACCTCATCAGTCATCAGTGTGGTAAAAAGTAAACTGCATTTCTCTAAACTGCAGTCATTTTAGTCATAGCTATTTACAATGTGTAAGACATTAATTGTTCACATTCTTTCCAGAAAAAGAAAAAAAAAACACTAAACTAAAATGTTTATATAATCCCCATAGGAAAAAAAAAACTATTCTCTCCTCCCAGGCTTTTGTTGTCAAGTCACACTGACCAGCTCCAAGCTTTACTCTGAAGTAAATTAGTTTTCCCCCATTCCTTGTGTTTTACACACTCCATTAAAGTACTATTGTGTAATAAGCTTCTAATATACATGGCATTCAACTTTCAAATATTGTGCTGTAAAAAAGAGTTATAACAATAAGAATGTATTTTTTTGTATTTTGAAGAATGAGCAAGAAGCGGAGGACAGAACGCTGCATTTAACAAAAATGATAGCACAATCAAACAATATACTTTCTGAATATTGTTGATATAATGAACTTATATGCACTGCCTGGCCAAAAAAAGTGTCTCCACCTGAATTTAACTAGGTCCCATGACCTGGGGCTGCTGCAGTTGGTCAGGTCTAGCTTCAGCAACAGTATCAAAGAATGAGGTCAGCTGACTTCCTGAATAAACTGAATGACCAGTTTATTCCATCAATGGATTTTTTTTCTTTCCTGATGGCACAAGCATGTTCTAAGGTGACAATGCCAGGATTCAATGGGCTCAAATTGTGAAAGAGTGGTTCAGGGAGCATGAGACACCATTTTCACACATGGACTGGCTCCACAGAATTCACTGAGAATCTTTGGGGTGTGCTGGAGAAGGCTTTGCACATCGGTCAGACTCATCAATGCAAGATCTTGGTGAAAAAATTAATGCTACATCTTGTGACATTGCAGAAGCTTATTGAAATAATGCCACAGCGAATGAGTGTCATAATCAAAGCTAAAGGTGGTCCAACAAAATATTAGTGTGGGACCTTCTTTTTGGTGACAACTTCTGTTTTTTGACCAGGCAGTGTGTTTATTTCTAAGCCATGTTTTCACACAACTTGAGTTAAGTCCCAGATGTTAATTTATCATTAGATAATAACAAATGAGTTTATTTTGATCCAGGTGCCTTCAATTATTTAATTAGATTTTAGCACATTCTCTCTTGATGCCTCCTGTAATTAGAACAAAACAACTAGTTGTGACATGGAAGTGATTAGTTATTACTTTTTGATTGCAAAAAAATAAATCTGAATTTGAGTAAGATATAGAATGCATCAGCTGCATCTGTGCACAGTATGTGTACACACAAACTAAATATTGGAATGACATAGTGTTCTGTTTAAATGCTTGTTATGAACTGTCACCTCTGGAAGTACTACAAGTCTTTCACCACAAGAGGGAAGCATATATTAATTTATGTAGAGGTGTTGGCTGAGTCTGGAATGCCAAACTATAAAACCTCTGTATTAAAAGACTGTTATAAATTACAAATACTCAAAGCATTGGTGATACATAAATGACCAAGGCAGATCTCTATTAGATTATGAATATAATAAAAACCCATGTATTATTTTAACCTGCTTCTTCCTTTTAGGGTCACAGGGGTCACTGGTGCCCATATCCAGCAGACACTGTGCGAGCAGCAGGGTATACTCTGGACATGTTTCAGGCCCACCACAGGAGAGGTCCCAGGCCAGGGTTTGATCCAGCAACCTTTGTGCTGAGAGGCTACAGCTCTACCAACTGAACCACCATGCTATCCTTATATAATATATTATATAATATAAATGACAGATGAATATCACATTATGTTTTAAATTGATTGTGATTATATGAAAGCACAAGTCGGCACAATGTGTTGCTCTGAACATACATCTCTATCTCTATAAATAGAGACAGATGTCATAATTTGATCATTGGGAATATTATGAGTGACAATTAAGCACCCAATAATCCCTTTTGCCAAAAATATATAGAGTTTAGCCAAATGATGAACATAGTCTGAAATATCACTAAAGTATCAGATTGAATAAGTGGTTGAACAAAGTACATTTTCAGTATAAAAATGCCAATCGATAATGAAAATATAACAAACAAAAAACATTAAAATAATACATCAAAACTATATTTGCTTACTGAAACATAAACACATAACATGTAGAATCATTTTCACCTCCTGTTTAACACAGGCAAATGATTAATTTGTCCGTAATTTGTACAACCTTCCCTTTTTCTGCCCTCATATCTGTAAATTCATAAGATAAATGGACATGTTGAAAACTGTATTGCATATGTTGTGTATAATTCATAACTAATACAAATGTCAATAAGCATCATCATAACCATATCTGCTCTGTAGCTGTGTTTATCTTCATTAACTAGTTTCATGTCCTGTTCATTTGTGTGCTAATATAATTTTCTCTATTAGTGTCCAGACATGCGCTCTTAGAAAGCTGGCCACCACCCTGCTGATTTCTCTCCAACAGGAAGTTAATTAGCGTTGATGTTTAGTTGGAACAGCTAGGGATATACTATATATATA